AATTCCATTCTTGGAAACCTTTTTCAAACATCTGTTTGGATGGCTGACAGCACCTCCATGGGTCTTTTCTTCACCTCTTCTAAATTGTCAAAGTGCTGTCCTTTCATGTCCCTCTTCATTCACGGAAACAAAAAGAAGTCGCACGGAGCGAGGTCAGGTGAGTACAGTGCATAGGGCAAGAGAGCCATGCTGTTTTTTGCGAAAAACTGGCACACCGAGATGGCTGCCTGAGCAGGTACATTGTTGGGGTGGCAACAGCAGTCCCCATCTGCCACAAATCAGTTTCCACCCCCACTGTTATGCAATCTTTCCAGAACCTCTAAATAGAACGCTTGGTTAACAGTCTGACCTGGTAGAATGAACTCCAAATGTATTATCCCCCTCACATCAAATAAAATAACAACAAATGAGCATCTTCTTGAACTTGGATTGCACTTGATGAACTTTTTGGGGGGGCAAGATGATGATGCATCTTCCATTGACTTGACTGAAGCTTGCTTTTGGGGTCATAAGGACAGCACCATGTCTCTTCACCAGCAATGACCTTGGGAAAGAAGTCTGGGTCGCTTTGGAGCTGCTCTTTCAAAGCAGGCATGTCTCCACTACTCGATCTTTTTCCTGGTCAGTCAGAACCCGAGGCATTTTGCAGCTACCCTCCTCATTCCCAAATCTCCTGTTAAAATTCTCTGAGCCGAGCTTCAAGATAGTCCAGATAACTTCTCCATCTCTTCAATGGTCATTGTGCACAAGTGCACAGCTTTTGTCAACATTAATCAATTGATATTTCACCTTTTTTGAAATGGGAAAACCACTTGAACACTTGAGTTTTTCCCATGGCACTGTCCTTGTAAGCTGTGTTCACCACCACATCAGTTTCTGGGACATTTTCCCCCCAAGTAGGAACAAAATCTCACAGCCTCAAGTTGTTCTCTGAAAGCAGCCATCACAAAAAACGAGGTTCGAGCAGAACTGCTTTTACGAAAAAATAAAAAAATTCATTGTTACCAGAGAGAACCTACCTAGGTATGCTACTGGGTGCACTAACTCAGAGAAAGTTACTTGATGCTCACCTAGTGGGAAAAATACATACTATGAAAGCTCTGCCCTATGGAACTTTTTTCTGGTTGTTCTCAGGTACCCCTGGTACACAGGGCTGTTATGAGTCAGAACAGACGTGACAGCACCTAGCCACAGTAGCAGCTCAATCCTTAGACGAGTTACGAGCTGCCGCATTGCATTTCATTGTCCTGGCTCCTCAGTCCCCTCCACCTGTGATGCTTACTCAGCCTTTCCTTGCTTTCCATGACTTGGGCGTATTGAAAGAGGGCTGGTGAGGAATTCTGTAGAATGTCAGAGGAGGGTTTTTGGCTCTCAGATCCTGCTGCTGAACAGCCTTAGATTAGAGAGTTCTGAGGGACCACAGTAGGAGGAAGGGCAAAAGACCTCAAGTGAGAATGGAATTCAATGTTTTTGCCTTACAGATGTAGAAACTAAGGTATCAGTATATACATATTGAGGTGGTTAGTTTATTGTGTCAACCTGGCCAATAAACACGTGAGGTTAATTGAAGGGTGGAGGGATAAATGGCTTGGTGAGCCTCGCCTTTCTAGTTCTCGGGTCTCTTGCTTTGTGATGGTTGGACCAGGGTGCAGCTGCCTTAGCCAGTTCCCTGCTTCAGCTGGCAAGG